TGGAGTTGAAGTAGAAGATCTGCAACGATCATGCCAAAAGGTAGAGGAAACTCGAAGGGTCATATGGCCAACTCCAGTTCCTGTTACCTTCTCATTTTACAGGAAGCGGCCAAAGTGAAGGATGCAAGAGACAACGCTCCCAACAGTGCCGCAAGCTCCAGGATTCTGGTCCGATGATTTGCATCCAAGTCAGGATGGAGAGGAACATGGAGGCAGTGATGTCATGAGGCCATTGCCGTCTGTGCTTTAGAAAGGGCAGAGGCAGGCTGTAATTTCACCAGACTGGCAATTCCGAAGCCTAAGCCAATGCCCTGGGTCAACACGAGTTCAAGTCCCAATTCAGCAGTGGCTGAAATTCGATTAATAAGAAAAAAATCTGGAATTGAAAGCTGGCCTCAGGAATGGCGGCTGTGAAATTTTCATCAATTACTGTAAAAAGCTCATCTGGTTCCCTAACATATTTCTGGGAAGGAGATCTACCATCCTTACCTGGTCTAGCCTACATGTGACTCCATACTCACAATAAACTCTGAACAGTCCTCAAAATGGCCAACCAAGCCACTTGGTTCAATGGATGGACAGCTTGCTAGTGACGTCTGCATCTCGTGAAAGAAGCAAGAAAATCTTGAGTTTGGAAGCTGCTTCCTAGGAAGCCTTGTTGAGTTTCTACAGTGCGTCCTGTAAATAATACAACTCTTGTCACTATCATAGCCAATGATGGAGGCAGTGAACTGTTGGCCTGTAGACAAGGTGCCAAGCAAGGAAGCAGCTTTGGGTTTGGCTAGTGTGGAGGTCCTCAGGGTGGTTGGAGATGTACCATTGAGGTAAATCAAGAGAGTTCCATCACTCTCCCATTGTGCTGGAGAGACTCCAGTGAGTAACCCACCTGACTCCCCAGAGAACTGCCACCTAATATTGGAAACAAGGCATTTAGGATCCCAGTTGCAATGAAATACAAGTGGCCTTAGCTAGATCAGATGATAAGGACACATTTCAAAACAGTAGGCCTTAAAAACATTTGGAAGAGATAATAAAACAGAGGAGGAGGGAAAGGAGCAGTATTGCTGTAAAGGGGGATCAGCAAGTTGACAAGACAATAGATTTAACTTCAGTTCTAAAGAGCTGAGTTATTAGTGACATGAGGAAAGGAAGGCACCCAATAACTAGAATTATGACAGGTCATTGCAGTGTGGAGGAGGAATTGAAATGGAATTATTTGAATAGACAGTGCTTAGTGAAAGGAAGGTTGATAATTACAGGGCATCTACCCACTCTGCAGTAGAATAAGAAAGAAAAGTTCAGAGTTAATGGAAAGACCTACTCCTGACATACCAGAGTTTAATCCTGTCTGTGGTAATTTTAACAAACAGGTTTAAAAGAGCAGAGACAGGAATTAAACTCAAATACACAAGTCAACACCAAAGGCAGCACAGAGTACGGTCCTTTTTGCCACTGGACATGCTTTTTGTTTAGAAATTCTTCAATGCAGGCTTGAACTCGTTGTTTTAAGGTTATTTTGTTTAATTCTTGCAAGAAGCTGACAATTTAAATGTGCTGTATAAATATAATGCAACAAAACATCCCAAGAAACATCATTTAAATTTGAGAAGGTGTCTCATTGGGCAACGTTAGGGTCGATAGCCAAAATTCTTGGTCTCAATTTAAATGGGGACAAAGCAGCAGCGAGGTGGAGAGGTTGAGAGGTTGAGAGAGAGAATTCATGAGTGCATCAGAAGGTCGAGCCATCAATGATGGAACAATTAAAATTAGGAATACTAAAGAACACAGAATGAAAAGAGCACAGGTTCCTAGAATGTGGGGGAGATTACAGCGATAGGGAAGGGGCAAGGATATGGTCTCATCTTTGTTCCCAATTTTTAATCACATTTTAGTTTTAGTCTAGTGGAGGAAAATAAAGAATGAAGGTCTAATTTTTGCATTCCATAATTTCATTCCATGATCTTTTAAAAAATATATTGATGGTGTTTCATTCCTCAAATAGCTCATGCAAAGTGTGAACAAATAATACACTAAGGTTCAAGTTACAGTTAAGACTTTAAAATTCTTCAGAATAAAGGATCATTTACGCTTTAACACACATTCACACACAGGGGCCATTTTCTACGAACGCAAGGAGTACAATCAAGCCTTTTGTATTTTTTGTCTGTCTGTGGTAAATTTAACAAACAGGTCTAAACTCGAGAGCTTGGGGAAGCCTACAATTCCATGTTACATTCTCCAATAAGAAACTGCGATCAGAGTTGCCTGCCAATCAATCGGATCACTTCCTTCTGTAGCATAAATTATACTGATGGTTTGAAATTTGGCATTCTTGAGTTTGTCCTGTTGCGTGAAAGACAAAAAACCTTATCACGTAGGTGTATTTTTTCCAGCAATAATTCAGATTTTATCCAGCATCCTCAATTTTCAACATTGTTATGGATCGATTAGCATTGTTAGCAATAAGAAATAATTTTAGTTTTGCCCTCCTCTTTAATTTGAATCCTGTGTATATTTTTGACCTTCACAACAAAATACACAGTCTGCTTCTAATTTTAAATTTAGTTGATGGAAACAATAATTTAAGATAATGACAATTTTCTTCCATAAGGACATGCTGATTTATGATAGCTAATAAATCATAGAATTATAGAATCCCTACAGTGTGGGAGACCATTCGGCCCATCATGTCCACGTTGACTCTCCAAACAGCATCACACCCAGACCCAATAACCACTCTACCCAAGAAACCTGCATTTCCATGGCTAATCCACCTAGCATGTACGTCCTTGCACACTATGGAAAATTTACCATGGCTAATCCACCTAACCCGCACACTTTTGGAAGCAGTCAGGTACAATCTAGTAGCTACTGAACCCAAAATGGTGGAGAATTGAGAGACATTGGAACCCTCTAAGTAGCAATGAATGAAAGGCTTTATAATCTCCTCCAGCCTCCAAACACCCCACCGTGAATTCCACATTCCTCCAATTTGTATGTTTCACTTCCTTCGCTATATTACTGGTGGTCACCCAGTCATGATCCAAATTCTCGATCCTCTCCCTTCTCGGATAAAACTCTGTTCTTTTAAGGCTCTGCTGTAAAGCCTATGGGAGCAGGGGATGAAGAGGATTCTGGGAAGCCTATGGG